ACCCCTCACACAGCGGACACCCCTCACACACAGGCACCCCTCACACACTTGTTATTTATTTTTGGTTGGTTATTCAAGACAGGTTTCTCTGTGTAGCCCAGCTGTTCTGGAACTTATTCTAGGACCAGGCTGCCTCTCTCTGTACCTAGACCAGGCTGCCTCCCTCTATATATAGACTAGGCTGCCTCTCTCTATATGTAGACTAGGCTGCCTCCCTTTGTACCCAGACCAGGCTGCCTCTGCCTCAGCAGTGCTAGGATTAAAGGTGAGACATACTTATTTTTTCTCACATACTTGTAAGTGTCAAAGTTGCATTCAAGTGATGCCTTTTCTGACAGCTGTTATTCCAGGGCACTTTTCCTTTATGCCTTTCATTGCTTCTCAGTTTTCTCCTGTGACCCTGCTGTGTGGCCTGAGGAAGCCCAGCTTTAGTCAGGTGTCTTCAGAGCCACTAGACCTCTGGTCCCTTACAGTCCTGTCTGCAGTGTCTGTTTCTTTGCAGCTCTTCTATGCTCACTGGCTCGTGGTCATGTGGGCCCTGAGCTGTGGGGCCTGATGGCTCTATGCAACACTGTAGTGCAACACCTGGCTGGAGCCTGCCTGTGCTCACTGCCACCCCTGGGGTACCGCCCCATCCTGTCCCCCCAGTGCCTTTGTGCATCGATGTGGACGCACAGCCCGCATTGGCCACGGTGGCAGTGCTCTGGTGTTCCTGCTACCCATGGAGGAGGCGTACATCAACTTCTTGGCCATCAACCAGAAAGTAAGCAGTACACTGGCCTGGTAGCTGGTGGTCAGAAACCAAGAGGAGGGAGGGAGGAGCTGCTGACTCACCTGGGCTTGGTGAGGGAGGCATCAGCCAGCATCATGACTTGGGGACACGGCCTATTGCTGCCCTTACTGGTTAGGGCTTTTATGTGCAATGTCACTTTAAAACTTTAAAAAAAAATCTTAAACTACTTTTTAACTGAGGGATGGATGGGATGTCCTTGGGCTGGATTCAGCGCCCTGGCTTTTGGATCACTGGGGTTGGAGGGACTGCGGGATGGTGAGATGGTGGTCTCTGTTTAGTGTCCCCTGCAGGAGATGAGCCTCCAGAGAAACACCGTAGACCTTCTGCCAAAGCTCCGGGCCATGGCCCTGGCTGACAGAGCGGTGTTTGAGAAGGGCATGAAAGCCTTTGTGTCCTTTGTGCAGGCGTACGCAAAGCACGAGTGCAGCCTCATCTTCAGGCTGAAGGGTAAGCCCAGCCTCATATCTCTCTCCCTCTCCCTCTCCCTCTCCCT